TCACAGCCAGGTCCCTATAGGGTAGGGAATACTTTAATCCAGGGCTTGAACTAGTGCCAGTCATTTGAGTAGAGCTTATGGATGTGAGAAGTGCCGTGCTAAATGCAGGATCTGAATAGAAAAGTCGTGTAGGGATTAGGAAATCCTGTGCAGAGAATTACATACCTGAGAGAGCACTGCAGCCAAGTATGGGGGAAAAAAGGGATAGAAATGCCACTTTGGCAGAACCATCTCAGTGCCAGCCCAGCAGCCAGGGTGCCGTGCCCGTGTGAGGGCTGGGATGAGCCCCAGTGCTGTGCCTGGTGCCTCTCCTGTCCCCGTGGGCTGGGATGAGCCCCAGTGCTGTGCCTGGTGCCTCTCCTGTCCCCATGGGCTGTTCCTGGTGCCTCTCCTGTCCCCGTGGGCTGGCATGAGCCCCAGTGCTGTGCCTGGTGCCTCTCCTGTCCCCATATGCTGGGATGAGCCCCAGTGCTGTGCCTGGTGCCTCTCCTGTCCCCATGGAATGGGATGAGCCCCTCTGCTGTTCCTGATGCCTCTCCTGTCCCCATGGGCTGGGATGAGCCCCAGTGCTGTGCCTGGTGCCTCTCCTGTCCCCATGGGCTGGCATGAGCCCCAGTGCTGTGCCTGGTGCCTCTCCTGTCCCCATGGGCTGGGATGAGCTCCTCTGCTGTGCCTGGTGCCTCTCCTGTCCCCGTGGGCTGGGATGAGCCCCAGTGCTGTGCCTGGTGCCTCTCCTGTCCCTGCCAGGCTCACAGCTGTGGCTCCAGCCCTGCCCATGCCCTGCTCCCTGTGATGTGGGGCTGCAGAGCTCTCCCACCACGCTGGCACCATCCCCCTGCCTGGCAGGGCTGCTCCCCACAGCCTGGCTCCCTTTTCCCGTGGCTCCAGCAGCTCCTAGCCAGGGCTCAAGTTTGGATACTCCTGCTCCAGGCTGGGTGTGATGCTCAGCCCAGCAGGGAGTGAAAGGCTCTTTATCCCACCTTTCCTTCGTGTGTTTGTTTGATCCCTCCCACAAGTTTTTCCGGTGCCGTGGTTTTCACTTCTTGCCTGGTTATGCCACGGGTTTTAAACCTGAATGGAGTATTTATCTAAATATATCCAAATCCACCCCTATAATTCCTTGTGAGTTCTGGGGGCAGTGAGTGATCCAGGATACTTTTTGGACTCGGGCAGAGGTGCAAATGATTGAGGTGTAACTCAGTGCTGTGCTCCAGGCCAGGCCAGAGTGGGCTGGTGGCTCCAGGCGAGGTTGGGATCCTCTGCCCTGGGGCCGGGCACTGTGGCACACGGGGCAGCTGGGACACCACTGCCCTGCCTGCCATTAATTACATTAATGAGAGCCTTGATGTTAACCAAGCTACAGCTCCTGAGGAGAGGCGGGCACTGGTTCTTCTGGAAAGTGGCTAAATATGGGTGAATATTTAAGATGCTGTATTTATTCACGCTGTAATGACAGGCTGCTTTTCCTCCTCCTCTGTACTTTTTTTTTTTTTTTTTTTTTTTTTGGCTAATTAAACTATTCAATTCCAATTCCTTTTTTTTCTTTTTTTTCCCCCCCTTTTTTTCATTTCACTGCTGTGCCGTTTCACTTCAGTTTATTTAGTGTTTTAAAATGGCTTCTATTTAAATTTGGAAGGGGAAAAAAATAAATCTGCTAAATATATTTCTATTCAGATCATATGTTGTGGCTTTTCTCTTTTTGAAGAATGAGGTCTAATTTTTGAACCTGAATTCACTTGGCACAAGTCTTGGCTTCAGCAATGTCGGGTTTCCTTTTGTTTTAAAGCAATTCCCTTTTTCCTACTGCTGGGATACATTTATGTCTTCGTGCTAGCAAAGCTTTTAGGCATGTGTTTGGTTTGAAAATGTTCATTGGAGCAAATATGGGCAGAGGATTTGAGGATGAGGCTGTCAGTGAGTTTTGTTGTGGTCCTTGGTGAGATGCTGAGAACTTGAAGCATCATCAGTCCTTTCCCACTACCCATGCAGATCGACTTTGGATAAATCTTTGCAAAAAGATGCAGCACATCCTTTTCCTTTCCTTTTTGTCCCTCTCTGTGAAAAGCCAGGCCTTGCTCGGGGTTTGGGTTTTCTGTGTTTTTTGGGTTTTTTTGGGTTTTTTTTGAGGGAAAGGGAGTTTACTAAATATTTGCTGCATTCAGAAGAGAGAAAAGGTAGAAATAAGCAGGAGAACCTAAGGTGTATTCAACAGCAGAGAGATTAACCCACGATTATTTGCAAAGTAGGGGATTTTTTAAATTGATTAAAGCTTTATCTTAAACACTTCAGCATGGCTAGAATATGTTTCTCAGTGAGGAATGTGTGACTGAGAAACATGGAAAGAACAGCTGGGGGAAAAAATAGCTAAGAAAAATAGAGATTTTATGGTGTTTCTGACAAGCTGTGTCACTGCCTGTTGTCCCTAAAGTCACAGTCCTCAAAGCTGGGTGATCTGAGTTCCTGGGCTTTCAGAGAAGTTTGAGACACATTTTACTGTGAATAGGAATTTCTTACAAGTATCTGCATGTGTAACTTAGCTGCACCCTTCTGAGAAGGTTTTCTGGAGGACAGAGGAGCTGTGAAGCTGTTAGTTAACCACTAACACTGCTTGTTTCAAATTGTTCTGCTGTCTCTGCTTAAAACTTCATCTGCCATACTGAGAAAGGAAGTAAAATGTAGATGCTTCAGAGCAAAGGTATGAATAAAATCTTCTGCCTATAGAAACTGGGAGATGGAAAACCACAGCTTCAGCAAGCAACCACAACTAAACCAAACATATGCATTAAGGGAGAGAAGCCCTTAGCATTCATGGTAGCAGAAGATGTCATATAGGAGATCTGATTTATGGTGGAAACCTCAACTTTTGGCCACGCTCTGAGGTCAGGTTTTTGAGTAAAAGCCTGCATTGCTGAGTCAGGCCAGTGGGTCCTTGACTTTTCTGGTCTGAACGTGATGTAACATCACTCCCCTCTAGCCTCAAGTTCAGGTACTTGGCTCCATGTGGGGTCCTGTTTGTGGCTGTGTATTTTTCATGGGGAGTGGGTGAGTTTCGTGCCCATGCCCAGTTGTGAGGTGCTTCAGCCCTTCCCCATCTCAGGGGATAATGCAGTAAGCCATAGGACACCTTTGTGGAGGAGCTCCTGGGGGGGGGCTCAGCCTTGATGGCAGACGCATGCTGTGTCTCGGATCTGTGCTGGCTGCTCAGTGTCTTGGATCTGTGCTGGCTGCTCAGCACCTTGCAGGACCTGCCCTGTGCCCTGCAGCCCCATCCCCTTGCCCTGGGGGTCCTGTAATCCCTGCAGCCCCATCCCCTTACCCTGCAGCCCTGTCCTCTTGCCCTGGGGGTCCTGTAGCCCCTACAGCCCCATCCCCTTACCCTGCAGCCCCCTCCCCTTTTCCTGGGGGTCCTGTAGCCTCTGCAGCCCCATCCCCTTACCCTGCAGCCCCGTCCCCTTTTCCTGGGGGTCCTGTAGCCCCTGCAGCCCTGTCCTCTTGACCTGGGGGTCCTGTAGCCTGTACAGCCCCATCCCTTTGCCCTGGGGGTTTTGTAACCCCTGCAGCCCCGTCCTCTTTTCCTGGGGGTCCTGTAGCCCCTGCAGCCCCATCCCCTTACCCTGCAGCCCGTCCCCTGCCCTGGCAGTGACCACGCAGCCCCTGACCCGCGGCGCTGCCCTCCCTTGCTGGTGGGGTGCCCGGGCTGCCCCCCTGCCCGGCGGCAGCGCTGATCCTGCCCCTCGGAGGCTGGATCTCTGCTCATTAGCTGCTGTTTGCTGAAACCGGATACCTGGGGCACCCCCGCCAGCCCGGAGTCCCCGGGCTGCAGCTATTTAAAAGGACAAGGGCAGCCTTAGAGCTTCCACCTCTTTCACATCCATGTCCCTCCCAGCGCCCGCTCCCAGCCGCCCTTCTCTCCTGGATCCCTGCAGCATCCATGACCCACGAGAGGAGCGACGGCCCGAGGGGGACGTGCCCGCGCCGGGGAAGGATTATCTGCTGAATTTGGGGGGACCCCAGAGAGCCCCGGCTGCCTCCGGGCCCCTCGCCCCGGCCACCTCTCCCGGGCTCGCAGCGCAGGAAACACCTTGAAAGGGGAAGGAGGGAGGAAGGGGCTTTGTTTGAGTTTATTTTTTTCCCTCCTTTTTTTTTTTTTCATTTTTACAAATTGTTATTATTTTTTAAGAAGTATCAATTGCCCTGAGCTGCTGGGACAAATGAATGCCCACGGCCATGGGGCTGCACGGAGATGCTGCTCAGCCTCTCAGCTCGCTGCAGAGTAAGTGCCCGAGGCAGAGGTGCTGGCAGGGGGAGGGAGCAGGGCAGGGGCACCCAGGGGTGCAGGGAGGAGGTGGCACCGCTGCCCTCACCTGCCTCAGGGAATCCCGTGGAGCTGCTGTGGACAGCAGGGACCTGTCGGTCACGCTGGGGCTCCACGGCTGGCTGGGTGGGACTTTGCATGAGGAGGGGAAGCAGGGATGGAGGTTTTATCCACGTGTGGAAGTCCCCTCTCCTGCCAGAGCTGGCCAAGAGGACTTGGGATCCAACTTGCTCTGATGGACCTCACACAGGGAAACGCATTGCCCCGTTCCTGCCTTCTGGGATGTAGATTCCATCCCTTGGTGCTGGGATGAGAGGGGCTGTGGAGGTGCCCTGGGGAAGCAGAGCAGCTCAAGGAGGGGAACAGGGACATGGGGGACTTTTCCCCTCCAAGCCTGAGTCCCATCCACAGGCTCCCAGCTGCCTGCAGCAAGCGCTGATCCCAAGGGAAAAGCCATGCCAGGTACTTTATAAGGTGGCTCTAGGCCAGTTTAGGACTCCTGGCCCTGGACAGGTGAGTGCAGGGAGCTGCAATTTCCACCAGCAGCCTCCCCAAAGAAGGACCTGTGCTTCCCTCCCGGGGGCCTGGACAGGGTCTTCAATTCTTTTCCTGCAGTTCTGGCCAAGAGGGTTTTTTTGGGTTTTTTGGTGTTGTGTTTTTTTTTTTTCCTCAAATTATTTATTTATTTTGTATAATATCTTGTAAATGCTTCGCTATTACAGAGGAGGGCAGCAGAGAGAGGCAGTAAGGACATCCTTAAATAATTTTCATTTCTCAAAATCTGCCTTTTCCTCTTCTCTCTAAGTCCAGAGGAGAGATCCTTGGGGGGGTGGGAGGCACATCTGCATTGCAAATAAAAATAATAATTACAACCACCAACCAACCAACAACAAAAAATGTAACAGCTAAGAAAAAACACTTGAAATCACGGACTTTGGGAACCAGAGATCACAGAAATTGCACTATTTATAAGGAGAGGAAAAAAAAAGGCAAGAAATCCAGCGACCATGGGCCAGCCTGGCTTCCTAGAGTGTACTTTGTGTTCTCTCTCCTTTTTCCAAGGTAATTGCAGTCTGCCGAGAGGGAGTTAAATGGGATTAAAAGATCTGTGTAAGCAAAAGGACCCAGAAGAGAAGGAGGAAGGAGTGAGCCGTCCGGGCCAGGGGTGTCTGTGACACAGCTGAACCCCTTAGCGAGGCAGAGAGCCGAACTCCTGGGAAGGATGTACCCACAAACCGGCTTATCCCCCGATTTCTGATGGATTGCCGCAAAAATTGCCCGAAAGAGACAATGCACTAAACGTGATGGAGCCGGAATCAGAGCCGGTCTCCAGACTCAGAGCTACAGCGGCAGGCAGGGGGTGAGTACAAACTCCGCTGCTCCCGGCGCTGGGGAAGGGAATCCCGGGCGGGCTGGGGGTGCCGGGGAGCCGCGGGATCCCGGGATTTGGGAACGAGGTGGGGGAAGACATTCCTCTGCCAGGGGATGATGTGAAAACTCCCGCTCTGGAGAGGAGAACGGGCTGCGAGCAGGGAGGCCACGCTGCGGAGCGGCAGAGGGGAGATGGGGCTGCGGTGTGCGGGGGATCGGCGCCGGGACGGGCAGGAGGAGCCCCCCAGCCCCCCCAGCCCCCCCAGCCCCACGCACCGGGACGGGGCTCCGGGCCCCGGGGGCTGCTCCGGGAGGAGGGCGCCGGTGCAGCCCCCGGGCGGATGCAGGGACGGGCGATCCGCTGCCCCTCGCAGCCCTCACCCTGCCTGCCCGGGGGGATCCCAGCCCCTCCTGGGAGCGGGGCTGCTGCTCCTCACCCTGTCCCTCGGGTACCTGGGTCTGGCGCGGTGCTGTGGGAGGTGGGAGAGCCCGGGGGGCTGAGGCACGCCGGAGGTGCGCGGTGGCAGCTCTTCGTGTGCTCACACAAAACGCTGTTCCCTCTCCATCCGTGTATGAAAAGATCCCGGCACACACCCTGCCCGTCCCCCTTCTCCCACAGCTGGGGCCGAATTTTACTGTTTTCATTGTTAAACGCGTTGTTGGCGGTGGTTTTGTTGTTGTTGTTGTTATTTTCCCGGGAACCCGCAAAGGGTTAATCCCGCTGGCTGCGTTGTCGGATGTACTGATGATTTACCGACACTCCCTTGGAAAGGCTGGGATTCTTCTGCCTGGCAGTTTGAAAAAGTTGTGTACAGGATCCCTCTGCTCGGCTGGGCTGGGAGATGGGGGAAAGAGGGGGAACGGGGCGAGGGGATTTGGGGGCAGCCCCCTCCACCCCCGGGGTCATCCTGTTGCCGCCCCTTTCCTAGAGCCGGAGGGGGATGAATGTGCAGCTCCCTTTGCAGGCTCAGTCTGTGTGTGGAGTTACACGGCGAGCCCAGACCCCTTCCCAGGGGCTGCAACTGCTCTCCTTGACAAGTTTTCTGTGTGTTTATATACTGGATCTCAGCGCTTTAGGGTTTTTGCGGTGTGAGGTTTGTGTTTGGGGTTTTTTGGTAGGGTTTTTTTGCGTAGATGTGGCTGTGGTGTGTCAGGAGACACTGGTAGCTGCAGCATCTCCCAGTTGCACCTTTTTAGTGCTGGGAATGGTCTGGGAGACCCGCCTGGGACCGTGCAAGGGCGGCTGGCGTCAGAAGGGGAGCGGGAACAGGGAGATAAAGGTTCCTTTGAAAGCAGGAGCAGCGTGTCACAGCGAGGGGACGGGCTCCGCGCTGGAGCGACACTTGGCAGCGGGCACAGCCTGTGACAGGGCACCAGCCGCTCCGCCTGGCCCAGGGCTTGGCTGTGGTCACGCTAGCCATGGGGACAGCGGGATCCTGCCCTGGTCCCACGTCCTGCGTGGGGACAAATCGGACCGTGCGAGCGCAGCGTTAGAAGGAGGGACCCGAGCGGGCAGCGTGGCTGCCGGAGATCTGTGCCCGGCTCTGCCTCAGGGTGTCCCCGGCTAGCACAGCCCTGCCGTGGGCTTTGAGCCCTGCAGCATCGTGGGCAATGTGCCTTTGGTGTGTCCTGGTGCCTCAAAGAGCGCCTTTTGTTCGGGGGTCTCCCCTGGCCTGTCCGCTGCCATGTGCTGCTCCGGTCCCTCCTCAGCAGAGGTCGCTTGCTGCCCTTCGCATCATGTCCCGGAGGGATTTTTGGATTGGATTCACTCAGCAGAGCGCCCTGCATCCCACCGCCCTCAGGGCTGCGGGGTGCCCGTGAGGCCGCTGCCCCTGGAGCAGCCCTGAGCCGGGGCTGGGCTGTCCCTGGGCACAGCAGGCCGCCCTTGGGCTGGCTGAGGGCTGTGCTGCCCGGGGACAGCCCGCCATGGGATCTGGGGCATTGCCTGGGGCACGGGGGTCCCTCTTGTAGCAGCAATCCTGCAGCTTGTCCTGCAGCAGGGCCGGGAGATCCCCACGGGAGATCTGTGGGTGAGTGTGGCAGGGCTGGCCACCCAGGGGAGGAGCGGCAGTCGCAGAGTGTGAGGGAAGACTTGAGCTGCCAAAGTGTGTGAAACAAGAACACAAAGTTTTACAGGCTCTTCAAGCTTAGCGTGCCCATCTTGGTCATTTCTGCTGATGCATTTTTGCTGAGCACAGGCCCCCCAAAACACAGGGGAGGGTTTGCATTCCACTGCACATCCAGCAGACGTTCAGGTGCTGTTCCGCTGTGCTTGTGTGACTTTGGCCCTTTCAGCCCCAGTGCCGCTTGCTGGCCACGGAGGAAGCTCGATGCTCCTGGAGACCTCTGATGGGTGACAGCCTGCTGTCACAGCCCTGAGGTGGTGACACAATGCTGCTCTGGGGCTGCCTGGCCCATCTGTGTGCTGGATGGAAAAGCTGCACACGTGGTACTACAGCATCCACCCGGCACCATCAAGGTGGGCCAGCCCCTGGGAAGGCCTAAAAGGGCTGGAGGGAGGCATCGATCCTTTTTAAGAGGAAAAAGAAGATTGCTTACAAGCTGAGCAGATGGTCTGGGGACAGATTATGGCACTGCTGGACAAATTCAGCAATAGGGTGGCAAATGATGTGTGTGCTGGGTGCTTGGGGGTAGAGAGGAGGCAATTGCACCTGGAGATGTGTCCCCTGAGGGATAGACAGTCATAGTACAGGACCACCCTGCTGCTATTTCCATGCGTCTCTCTGAGTGTGTGCTTTATTAAAATAAAGCTCCAGCTTCATCCCCTTTCTGCAATGGGTTGAGGGGTTAAAATTTGTTCTGCTTTATATCTCTGTTCATGGAGATTCTGTTGCTGACTGAAGGTTGCCCAGGTTTGTGGTGAGATGGTTGTTGGAAATCTCTGCCCAGAGACAAACACAGGGTTTGTGAGTTTTTTTTTTTTTTACCCTTTCCCTTTCTTTGCCAATTTGTTGGGGACATAAGTAGAAATGATGGATGCTTTTACTGAAGCAAATGGAAACAATGGGGAATTCTATATGGCTCTGCCAAACCCCATTCACAAAATGAAGGAATGCAAAGGCGTTTGTTGGAAGGACAAAAAGGGAGTTAGATGTCAGATCAGGCTTAGCACTTCTGTTTGTCGAGGGCTCCAGTTACTGGAGAACACAAAGGCCAGGGCCAGCACTGAGTGTTGTCACTTCACACAGCAGCAAAGTCAATATCCCAGACAGACAGGGATGGGGAGCGAAGGGCAGGCGAGTAATGGGTTCCCAGGAAAGATTCCCTGCTGTGGAGAGCTTCTGGGGGCTGCCTGGGAGGCTGTTTGAGTACTATCAGTCTGGCATCTCTCCCGTGGGGAAGCAGGTTGGCACCAGGAGCAGCTCAGCTCTGGGAAAGCCCTGTGCAGTGAATGCACAGGCTCTGGTTCCAGTTAGGAGGACAAGGACCAGTGGTTTGGCACGTTTCAGCGTGCAGGTGCCAGCCTAAACCCCTGAGAGGACAAGGGGTGAGGTGTCTGCAGGAGGTCACCCTGGCTATGCTGGTGCTTCATCCCCACCTTCTGAGCACTGCGGGTCAGCATGGCCCTCCTGGAGAAGTCCTAAGAGGAGCTGTAAGTGCCAGATGAGCAAATATGGATCCAACTCTCCTGCTGTGGGCAGGGACACCTTCCAGTAGACCAGGCTGGTCTAAGCCATATCCAGCCTGGCTTTGAACACTTCCAGGAATGGGGATTTCATTTTTCCTTACTTAATATTGACATTTCTAGACCACTCTCTGTTTTTTCTTAGTATTTTTCAATGACCTTAAGAATGGATTTCTAGGGGCCATATCTCTTTGCCTGCTCAATACTTTTCCTTAAAAATGTAGCTGCTGAATGGGGATTAGAAACTAATAGTATTTTAGTTGTTTCAGAAACTTTGCCCTTATCACACTGGGGTTTGCAGCAGTGCCTGGGTACAAAATCCTTGCCTGGAGGTGTAAGTCAATACCTCATTTATACTGCAGGAGAGGTCCAGCAAAGGACTGAGTAGGGTCAATTTGGGGACATCTACATAGTTGTGTGTTTCCATTGCTCTTGCCAGAAACTGAGGGGGAGTGGAGAAATACCATCATTTCCAGAAGCTCCACAGAGGAGGTTGCTGGTACGAAATCCCACCCCAAAAAGCTGGGATTAAATCAGTGCACAGTACAATTTAGAGCCTCAGTTTATAGGTTGTGATTTGCTTCCTGTTTGTCAAAACTGCTTGGGAGTCTTACAGAATATCACCTCCAGTAACGTGCAGAGGATCTTAAGCTACACTGTTTTTAGTGTAGCTTAAAATAAGAAGCTTTTATTTTCTCCTTTTTAAGATATACTGTCTGAACTACAGCTAGAAATGCAGATTTGCTTTTCTTGAAAAGCAATTTTCAGCCTCCAGCTGGCTCTGTGGTCTTTTGAACAGGAAGAATATACACCTGAATGGAGAAAAGTGGTGGGAGAATTATTTTTCCACCTTGCAGTAAGGTTGGCAATTTCAAAGCCATTTCCCCACTGTAAATGAGGGGAAAACAAAATAAAAATTAAATGCTGCCATGGGCCCTTGAAATATTTCCTTCAGCTTCAACCCATCAGCTAAACAAACAAGATGTCAAAATAATTTGGACTTCTTATTTTAAGGCAGGGCAAACCTTTTATTAAAAAAAAAAAAAAGGTGAAATTTTTCCAAACCAATTCCAGAAATAGTGGGGAATTAGCTGATCACAATTATTTTACAGGTTGTCTCAGCTTTGTCAAATTGTCACTTCCTCAAGGATAATTTGTCACCAAGTTTACCCTGAAGGCTGTTGTGTCCCTGCTGTCCTTAATTCAGTGCAGGGCTTCATTCCAGCACTTGTCTGGTTAGAAGGGAATAAGTGTGTTTGTGCTTCTCTGTCCCTCTCAGTTGTACTTTTCCTTGGACTCCTGGCACTGCTCAGTTCCCGTGGACTGATCCACAGGAGTTTGCCAAAAGTAGCAAAGTAAAATGAAGCTGTATTCAGTACCTTCAGTTTGCTATGAAGGGAGTTGGTGTCTGCATTGGAAAACTTTTAAGGCTCATGTGAGCTTACATCATGTGTGCTGTGGGGCACCTCTACACCCAGGGACTGCAGCAGTGCTTTGGGTTAGGAGGGACCATAAAAAGTCATCTCACTCCACTCCCTGCCATGGGCAGGGACACCTTCCATTATCCCAGGCTGCTCCAAGCCCTGTCCAGCCTGGCCTTGGACACCTCCAGTGATGTGGCAGCCACAGCTTCTCTGGCCAACCTGTGCACGGCCTCACCACCCTCACAGGGAACAATTCCTTCCTAATATCAATGCTAAATCTGCCCATCTTCAGTTTAAAGCCTTCCTCTTTGTCCATGCCCCTGTCCAAAGTCACTCTCCATCTCTCTTAGAGCCCCTTTAGGCACTGGAAGGTGCTTTAAGTTCTCTCTTGAGCATTCTCTTCTCCAGACATACAGCCCCAGGATCCTCGCTGTGGTATTCACAGAGCCTGTGAATAAAAGAAATAAACGCCTTCAGTGGTGTCTCTTGATAGAGTTTTTATGGAAATCACTGCTCATGGGAAGAAGCTGAGATAAGGGAAAGGTGGATTTGATAGCTCTATATAAGGAGAAAAATCTTCTTTACTCTTGCTACTCTGTCGCTGCAGAGCTGTAACGGAAAAAGAGCCTGCATTAAAAATCCTGGGATAATTAACAGCCCCATCACTCACACGGCTGCCATTTGGAAGCTGCTTTTGCTTTTTCCATTAAGTTGGTAAATTTTGCCAAAGTGTTTTTCTTCAGTGTTTTGGCATCCGGCCCCGCTCTCAACTCTTACAGTGTTGGCCATGTGAGGGGTCCAGGAGCAGGGCTGGGGCCAGCTGGATCCCACACTGTGCATTCGTCTCCTTTACAGACCAGGAGTGTCACTGGAATGAAATTACGTGCTGGATTTTCCCCCAATACTTGTTCTCCTCATTGTGTCAATCAGCAGGGAGCTGGGTTTGTGAAGGTACCCCTCAGAAAAAACAAAAAGTGGACTTCAGTGTGATGTGAGCAGCAGTGGTTATACAAATTGATCCTCACCAGATCACAGGTTCTTAATGCCTGGGACTGCTGCTGGTGGTGACCCCGTCCCTGTCCTCCTGTGTTCTCTTCACCCAGCTGGTGATAGCCGTTCACATCTTTGCTCCATGCACGCATGGAATTGTGTCCACATCCTAAACTCTGTTGGAGATGAGCACAGAAATTCAGGTTGTC